ATCCAGATGTTCCTCCCCAGGGCCTCCGGGAAGGTTGCCCTCTGTCAGGACACCAGGGGAGCACTGCAGAGGGAGTCATCAGAGGAGAGTAAGAGTCAGTGTAGAGTAACCCACTCCTCCCCCACCCCTGACCTCCCCAAAGCCTCACGAATTCTTTAACAGACCAGCCTGCTGCCCTCCATGGACGGAGATGCTGCCACTCTGGGGCAATCTGGCAGTGAGCTGGCCCGGCCAAGAGCCACCCTTCCCATTCAGAAGAACCTGGGCCTGTGACTGTCCCCAGGTGGGGGGAAGGTCCTGCATAGGGGGCAGGGCCACCAGGGACAGCAGGCAGTTCTTCTGGAATCCACCAGACTCAGATCAGGCACTGGCTGAGGAACGCGTCTTGGCCCAGGAGCCTGGTGGATGGGTTCGAGGACTAGGGCCACCCCTCGTGCCCTGTGCTGGGCTCCTCCCAGACCTCCCCTCCCCACAGCTGGGCCTGGTGTCCCTCTTGGCAGACTGCAGTGTCTTGTCCCACCAGATGTCCTGTTTGGGGACCCCAGAGCCAAGCCTCCCCCTGAAGGCTTCCGGTGTTGGTATCCTGGGCAGGGATGTAGGGCTCACATCCCTGATCCCTGATCCCTGACAGGCAGGCTTTCAGTGATCAGTCCTCATGTGAAGCACCCCCCGAACCCAGCCCCAGATCCTTCCTGCTGTCAGCCAGCCATGCGCTTCATTCATTCATCCTTTCACTCAGAAAACCTCAGCTGAGTCTCGTTGTGCAAAACAAGTGCTGGGGATCAGGTTGAACCATATCTTCTTCTTTGCGTTGGGGAGCTTGTACTCTCTGGTGCCAAAAAATGTGTACCTGCCACCCAGTCTGACTCAGTGGTCAGAGCCGGACTTGCCTGGGGCTGAGTCTAGGCGCCACTGCTTTCTTTCTTTTTTTTTGGCCACGCGGGCATGTGGGGTCTTAGCGTGGTGTGTGGGATCTTAGTTCCCTGACCAGGGATCAAACCCACGCCCTCTGCGTTGGAAGTGTGGAGTCTTAACCACTGGACTGCCAGGGAAGTCCCTAGGTGCCACCACTTTCGCTCCGTGGGACCCTAGGCACGTTACTAGCCTCTGTGACTCAGTTCCCTCATCTTTGAAATGGGGATAATAACCGTATCTGCCTCCTGGCTGCTGGGAGGGGTTAAATGAGTGGTGATGGGTAAAGCACTCAGAGCGGTACCCAGCACAGAGTAAGGGCTTCACAACTGTTTAACTAGAATTAAACAAAAACTTCACGATCATCCAACTCTGCTAGGTTCATCAGAAAACCAAAACTGCAAAGGATTATCATTTTTTCTTGGTAACTCCTCATTTTTTCAAAAAGGGGAAAAAAAAATCAAATCCTGAAGCGATTTGGGAATGAAGCTTAAGCTTGGTCCTGCTTGACTACTGCAGTTTAAACTGAATTTCTCTTCAGTGGAAAAAAGTTCCCAGACAGCGTGGCAAATTAATCACACTGGCAACTGCACCTGGCCAGCCCCTTCCTGTTCAGCATTCAAATGGGTGTAGATTTGGGGATGTCAGCGCCGCCCGTATCATATGGGCTGTTATTCCTTGTAGCTTCCAGCATTTCAACTTGCAATGCTGCAGTGAGTTGAAATCTGCACAGGGTCAGGGAGCGGTTGGCAGGAGAAAGGGGGTTTGGCTGGCTGTGCATCAGGCATCACGTGAAATCCAGAGCAGTTACTGTATTTCAGTCTTGCTAGAACTGTCCTGGCATTTATTCTCCCAGCCAAAGAGCACTTGGTAGATGGTGTCCATCTCACAGATTTGTCTGCACTCCAGAAACAAGGCCTGCACGTAGAAGAGAGTGGCTAGATTGTCAGGACACAGTGGAGCCACGATTCACCCCCAGATCTACTGGGCTCTAAACCAGGGTCACAGGCACGGCCCAGATTGTAGGCCAAATTCCCCTCTCTGCGTTTCTGTATGGCCCATGAGCTAAGAATGGTTTTAGCATTTTTAAGTGGTTGAAAAGCTCAAAAGAAGACTATTTTGTGACATATAAAAAGTAAATGAAATTAAAATGTCAGTGTATGTAAATAAAGGTTTTTTGGAACATAGCTATGACCATTTGTTTGCATATTATCTAGAATACGTACAATATGCACTACAGAGGCAGAGGTGGGTAGTCGTGACAGAGACCATATGGCCTCCAAAGCCTAACGTATTTACTGTCTGGCCCTTTATAGAAAAAGCTTGCCGACCTCTGTTCTAAACCTCTGTGTGGGCAGCCTCAGAAGGCTCCTGCTGAGGAAGGCATGTGTGTGAATGCATGGAGGAGGACCACCCTCACCCGCTAAGTTCTAGGACCATATGGAGAAATGTGGGGGCGTGATACTAGCTTCAGGTGGATTCAAAAATTGTTGGAGGGCTGGGAGGTCTCTGGGGCATGCCGCAGGGCTCTGTCCTCAGCCCTGTCCCGGTCAACACTTCTATTACGAGCCTGAGTGAGGATATTGGCGCTCCGGTGCACCCAGCTGATTGCTCTCGTTCCTTCTGCACAGAGCCCTGGTGTGATTCACCTTCCCCCCATGCCTGGGCTCAGAGGTCTGTGCATCCCTGGCTGCCACTGGACCAGGGATGATCCTGTGTCCAAATATGGTCCAGTCAGGCTGAAAGGAAGGACTTCTATTCCGTGATTGTTGGGGGATAGCTTCCTTTTCTCTCCTCGCCTCCCCGCCCCTCCCTCCCTCCCTTCCTGTGTCTCTGTCTCCTTCTCTCTAGACATAACAAGGAAAAACTTACCCACAACACCCACCTGCAGGCTTCCTGAGACAACAAAGGGATGTCCTTAACACCGTGACAGTAGGAGCTGCTAAATCCCCCAGCCTGCCCTATCACGAGACTTCCTGCGGTAGATGATCTTAATTTCCCCTAGAGTTAAAGCCATTTTGAGCCAGGCTTTTCTGTTACTTGTAATTGTTGTTCTCCAAAGTCTGGGAGACCAAAGCAGTGACTGTCTGCGCCGGGAGCTCATTCGTGGGCTCACTGCCTGGACAGGGCTCTGGCCGTTTGCCCCCGGCCAAGCTGGGCCTGTCCTCCACGTCTGGGACAGTAGTTGGGACTGTTTAACACTGTCTCATTTCTGGACTCTGGTTTTGTGAGGTTGATTGGTCAATAGAACTATAGTTATTTTCTGGCTTGTGTAGAAGGAAATCAATTTTGTATTTCTTCAGAACGTGTGAGAGTTTCCTACAAAGGGAGATGGAAATGGAGGGAGACCTTTTCCGGCCAGCGCTGAGCTGGGGCTGAGTGCACTGCGAGGGGGCTGGCCCGGCTTTGATGAGTGCCGCATCCTGGGGCTTATAGGTTGTGTCGTCCCCCCAACCCTGCCCCCGTCTGCTCTGCCATTTGTGGAGGGGGTTGGCTGCATGTGGCAGAGGGAGGCACGATGGTGGTGCTGGCTAAAGCTGGATCAGATCTGCGGCTTGGGTTGGCGGAACAGCCTCCTTCACAGTTTTGAAGCTCCAGCCTTAACTAGTATAATGATGGGGACCTCACTTGACCTCTAACTGTCTCACCCTTCCTGACCTTCAGGGAAGCAGGGCAGGATAACAGAGAGCACTGGGCTCAAGCCAGGCAGACCTCGGTTCAAATCCCAGCTGTACTGCTTTCACATGTATGACCTTGGGCAAGTCTGGGGTCAGTGTCCCCCTGTGTAAATGGGGACAATAATGTTTCTATTGCAAGACTGCAGTGAGGAGTGGGTGAGATAGAGATGCAACAGTGGTGCTGGTCATCTGAGTGATGTCTTCTGACCCCACCGATTCTCCAACTCCAACTGGGTGTACAATTTGATTCTGACACTATCCACCTGGACTCAATGTCAGATCCCACAAGTGAAGGGCTCATTCCCACAAGACTGCTGATTCAGATGCCAGGCACGAATCCTGGGCCACCCGGACTTCTGACCAACTGGCTATAAATTGGGGGTTCTCATGACCCCCTCCTCATGTTTAATAATTTGCTAGAATGGCTCATGGAACTCAGGAAAACACTTTACTTTTGAGTACTGGTTTATTACAAAGGATGTAAGTGAACAGTCAGTTGAAGAGGTACATGGGGTGAGAGGTCTGGAAGGGTCCCAAGTACACAACCCTGTATGTCCTCATGGAGTCAGGGTGCATCACCCTCCTGGCATGGGAGTGTGTTCTCCAACCTGGAAGCTCCCCAAATCTCACTGTTGGAAGAGTTTTTATAACCCAGTTTCCAGCTCTCCTACTCTTCCCAGAGGTTGGAGGGTAGGGTTGAAAGTTCTACTCTCTACTTGTCTATCTGGCAATCAGCCTGAAGTGATCTAAGGGCCCCCGCTGAGTCACCTTATTAAACTCTGATATGGTCAGAGGGTTTATTATGAATAACAAAAGACACTCATATCACTGAGCAAATTGCAAGGGTTTTAGGAGCTCTGTGCCAGGAACCAGGGACAGAGAACATATTTCTTATTAAAGCACATCATGATCATCTCTGAGGGAGCGTCATTGCTCCCATTTTAGGCATCCAGTGTAAGAGGAGCCAGGAACAGGAATGCTCTCCTTCCTGACTTTGATTCAGGCCTCCTGCAGGGTGAAAGCACTGTCCTAGAGGCAGGAGCTGCCTGGATGGTCATTAAAAGATTTTTATCTCTGTACAGGGAGGAATCCCTGATGTAGCGTTTGCTGATTAAAGAGAAAGTGGTCATGTGTGGGTCTCCCCAGGTAGACCAGACAGTCAGCCCCAGGCTGGAGCTCAGGGCCAGTGGCAGAGATTAAGCAGTGAATGTTGGGTGGAAATCCACGCAGTGTGAGCAAGCAGTCCGGATGCACGGCAGGCTGGCTTAGGAGCAAGCAGAAGCCCCATCACAGCCGGAGGCCGGCAGCAGAGCTGACCAGTGCCAAGATCTGTGAGGATGGCCCCCGGCGTGTGGCTCCAGGGGTCTGGCGGCCCGAGTGCTGGGCCCTCAGAGAACGGTGTCCCCACAGGTCCATGACCGCCTGGATCGCTATTGCTGCGGCTTCGAGCCTGAGCCCTCGGACCCCTGTGTGGAAGAGAGACTCCGAGAGAAATGCCGGAACCCGGGGGAGCTGCGGCTTGTCCACATCTTGGTATGTCCCCAGGTCGCCCCACACTCAGGTCTTCCTGTCTCCATCAGCAGATGCTGTTGGCAAGTGTCAGAGATCACGTGACCTCGGGGTGTCCCAATCCTGTTCTTTTCAGCAGCAGAACCCTTTAAATATTTTCAGGAAGCCTTAATATATGGAACTGACACAGGTGGAACTTTGAGGATGTGGTTTAGGTAGGTATGGGGTGTGGGCTGGAGCTGTTGTCACTAACTCCTCTGAGCCCTGAAGACTCCGGGGATGCCCTAAGGCTCCAGGAAGCAGAGTGTGATAACTGTGTGTCTAGTAGGATGTCCTCAATGTGCCAGTAAATATGGAAATTGGGGCCTGGAGCGGGGGAAGGGGTTTTCCCAAGCTGCATGTCTGGTTGGTGGCAGTGACAGGGCGCTCTCCTGGCCCCTGATGGCTCACAGGCTGGGGCTGTTGGAGGAACACTGTGCTGCCTCCTGTGAAAACTACAGCCCAGGGTGGGAAGCCATGTGCCGAGGCCATCGGTGAGAGGCTGGTGGGGCAGAACAGCCGCTTCTCCTGCACGAGGAGCAAAGTGCCACCCCGGGGAGGGGCTGTTCTGTCTTCCCCCAGTGAGGCTGGTGTCCTCACCACTTCACCTTGGCCAGCTGCTTTGGACGGTAGCCGTCAGATGCTGCCCTGGGCCGAGCATCAGGCAGCCCCACCAGCCCGCAGGCCAGGGCTGCCTCGTGGTGCTGCTGGGTGGTGGGAACTCTCCCTGCCCTGCCCCAGAGCCACCTGTCTCCTTCCCCAGTAAAAGGCAAATATTCCTGGGAGAGGGAGGGCTTTTATATCCATCCTTTACCCCTGGTGGGCAGCTGTCTCACAGATCCTTCCCGATATCAGTTTTTGGAGGGAGGAGTCATCGGGTTTCGAGAAATAGATGATCCGTGGTGTGTGCAGGGGGGTGAGAGGTAGAAGAAGCAGAGAGGGGAAGCTGAGGTCCTGAAGACAAAAGTTCCTAATTTAAGCCCAGGTTGCTGAAGAGAATTATGGGAAACTACCAGGGAATCTTGGCAAATGTGTAGGAACGGAGTGTGTGCATGGGGGTAGGAGCCGGAAGAGATGGCCTCCTGTTCCCACCATACCAGAGTTTTAAGGTGCTAAAGAATTCCCCTGCTGCTGATTTCAGTGTTTTTGTTTGTTTGTTTGTTTTTTGTTTTTTTTTTTTGCGGTACGCGGGCCTCTCACCGCTGTGGCCTCTCCCGTTGTGGAGCACAGGCTCCGGACGCGCAGGCTCAGCGGCCATGGCTCACGGGCGCAGCCGCTCCGCGGCATGTGGGGTCTTCCCAGACCGGGGCACGGACCTGTGCCCCCTGCATCGGCAGGCGGACTCCCAACCACTGTGCCACCAGGGAAGCCCTGATTTTAGTTTTGAAGAGTTTTCGGAGGCCCTAAAACTGTGGGGACAGAGGATGGGCAGTGCTACCTGAGGATGGAGGGTGTCTCGTGTCCTCGGTGATGCTCAGGGGAACGCCTGGGACAGGGGCACAGGGGGCACGTGGGCGGGCATACATGTGTGAGGGTGCACGTGTGCGATACATCCCACAGCCTCAGCCCCTGGGTGGGCTACCTCTGCCCCTTCCCATTCCCACCCGTGCTCCTCAGCCCTTCGGCCACCAGAACAGGAATCAGTCCCTCTGCCTTGCAATTTTGCAGAAGGTGCTGTGGCTTTTGGCTATGGGTCCAGGTCTGAACCAGCCAGCTACTTATTAGCTGTGTGACCTTATGCAAATTACTCCTTTGTGCCTCTGTTTCTGTAAAATGAGGCCAATATCAGTGGCCACCTCCCAAGGTTGCTGGGAGGGTTCACTGAGAGGGTGCCTGGATGTCCTAAGCACGGCCGCGGCATGGAGTGAGCTCACTGCTCAGTGCGAGGGGACCATCTAGGCGAGTAGCAGGCTGCGTGGTGGGACTGACAGCTCAGGGCCCCCCAAGCTACTGAGCCCCGACAGAGTCCAGGGGCACCGGCTAGGCTGCTCCCTGACTCTCCTCTGTCTCTGTCCATGTTCTTGCCTGAGGTCCGGAGCAGTGATCTCTCTCATCTGGTCTACATCGATAACGCCGGCAACCTTCAGCACCCGGAGCACAAGCTGAATTTCCGGCTGCTGGAGGGCATTGACGGGTGAGGGTCAGAGCGGTTGGGTGGAGGTTCAGGGGCTGAGGCTTGATGGCCCTGCTGTAGACCTTGAACTGTGGCTCCAGAGAAGCCCACAGTCCCTCAGACAAAAGCTGCTGGATGAGCCTCAGAAGTGGGTGAGGAGTCCTGGGAAAGCTGAGGGGATATAGCCAGCAGGCCCTTCAAGTCCATGATGGGCTGCCCCCTCCCCAATATCCAGAGGGCCTCCTGTCCCTGCACAACATGGGCTGCCCTGCTGGGGAGCGAGCAGGCTGGCCCTTCTGTGGCAGGGAGCTAGCCTGGGAGACACCTTCCCTGCTCACACCTGCAGCGGCTGGGCCTTCCTAGGGCTCCTCCTCACTTCACCCGGGCCAGCAGAGTGGATTCACCCACTCAGGGAGGTGGGACCCATCGAAAGCTCTATCCCCTGCCTGCTGTCACAACAGAGCGGGTGGAAGGGTTCCTGGATAACTAGTTAGAGACTTTGCGGGGTGGCTTTGCGGGCCCCCAGCTGTGCAACTTCTGGCCGACTGGCCTGGCCTTTCACGGAAACTCTCTGAGATGGCTTTTGCTCTTCCTTTCTGTTATGGGACTGGGGGACCTTCCTCCAGGTTTCCTGAGTCTGTCGTGAAGATTCTCGCATCAGGGTGTCTACAGAATATGCTGCTCAAGTCACTGCAGACAGATCCGGTGTTCTGGGAAAGCCAAGGTGGGCAACAGGGCCTACAGCGGGTCCTCCAGACCCTGGAGCGGCGAGGACAGGTCCTGCTGAGCCACATCCAGACGCACAACCTGACACTCCTCAGGGACGAGGGCCCATAAGCCCCCTACGGTCTGGGCGGGACTCTCACCTCACTGCAGGGGGAAGAAGGGGGGCATCTCATGACATGACCTGAGTGGATAAGTGCCCATCCTCATGGCCACATTTTCTTGGGTTTACCGTCTTGAAGACAAAAGGGAAAAGCCAGAAATCAGGAGGGCACCATGGATTCCACAGGACGTGTCATCTGCTTAGGATGGTGGAAGAGGTGGTGGGTGTTGGGTTTTCAGTCTCATCACATTCTTTTCTGTCTGCTCAGCTCTGGCTATTTACTCCCTTGCACCAATAAATACACAAGAATGTTCTATGAACTGCCCCAGGTACTGTAAAGTCGTGTGTTCCACATGCACATGTGGAGCCGGACAACTCTGTGTGTGTGTGTGTGTGTGTGCGTGTGCATGTGTAGAGGTGTGTAGGTAGTTGTGCACGTGTGCTATGTGTGTATGCCCGCATGCATACATGAGATGAGCCTGATAAAGGATCTTCACAGAGTTGTACTTGTGGCCCAGAACTGCTCTGGCTGAAAGTGAACTCAGGTCCAAGAAATGAAACACTAAGCATTTTGTCTTTATAGGCTTTAGATGTTCAATCCTTATTCACTTATGTTTTTGGTTTAAGAATTATGAAAGTAATACATGCTCACTAAAAACAGATTCATAAATAATAGAAGCATGTGAGATAAAAAGTGAGAGTTCCAGAAACCCCCTAGAGATGTGATACGCATTTTGTTCACACTCACACTGCATGCAAATGAAAATATAATAAAGTAGGATATCTTTGTTTGTCAACTCACTATTTGTACTTCACTATATTTACTATGTTCTCTATCCGCCATCTGGGTTGACCCAATTCTTATTCATGACTGCATGGAACTCCCAGGCAGGGACGTGTCATATTTCATTTAGCTGTTCTCATTATGATGAACATTTAGATGGCTCAGACTTTTCACCAATTCTGGACAATGCTGCCATGAACATCTTGGCGTGGTGTGCAAGTATTTCTGCTAGCTAGGTTTCTATGGGTGGGTTTCTGCATCAAAGTATATGGGCATTCTTTATTTTCAGAGAAACTGCCACATTCCCTCCAAAATGGTGGTGTCAATTTACCCTCCTACACAGAGGGTAGGGGACTTACTGTTTTCCCTACCCCTCATCAACACTTGCTATTCTCAAACTTTTTGTTTTTAATTCATCTGATAGGGAAACCTATTTTTAATTTTCATTTTTTATTGAATTATAGTTGATTTACAATATCGTGTTAATTTCAAGTATACAGCAAAGTGATTCACTTATATATCTATAGTTTCAGATTATTTTCCATTATAGGTTATATAGGATATTGAATATTGTTCCCTGTGTTATACAGTAAATCCTTGTTGCTTATGAGTTTCAAGTGTAATAGTTTGTATCTGTTAATCCCAAACTCCTAATTTATCCCTCCCCATCCCTGTTCCCCTTTGGTAACCGTAAGTTTGTTTACTATGTCTGCAAGTCTGTTTCTGTTTTGTATATAGATTCGTTTGTATTATTTCTTAGATACTACATATAAGTGATATATAATATTTGTCTTTCTTTCTCTGGCTTACTTCACTAAGTATAATATTCTCTAGGTCCCACCACCTTGCTGCAAATGGCAATATTTCATTCTTTTTTTGAAAATATTTATTTATCTATTTAGGCTGCACCAGGTCTTAGTTGTGGCATGTGGACTTCTTAGTTGCAGCATGCAAACTCTTAGTTGTGGCATGAATGTGGGATCTAGTTCCTCAACCAGGGATTGAACCCAGGCTCCCTGCATTGGGAGCATGGAGTCTTACCCACTGGACCACCAGGGAAGTCCCAATATTTCATTCTTTTTTATGGCTGAGTAATATTCCATTGCACATGTATACCACATCTTCTTAAACCAAATCGCCTGTTGATGGGCACTTGAGTTGTTTCCATGTCTTGGCTATTGTAAATCATGCTGCTATGAACATAGTGGTGCATGTATTTTTTTAAGTATAGTTTTGTCTGGATATATGCCCAGGAGTAGGATTGCTGGGTCATATGGCAACTCTATTTTTAGTTTTTCGAGGAACCTCCATACCATTCTCCATAGTGGCTGCACCAATTTACATTCCCACCAATAGTGTAGGAGGGTTCCCTTTTCTCCACACCCTCTCCAGCATTTGTTATTGTAGACTTTTTAAGGCTGGCCATTCTGACCAGTGTGAGGTGGTACTGCATTGTAGTTTTTATTTGCATTTCTCTAATAATTAGTGATGTTGAGCATCTTTTCATGTGCCTGTTGGCCGTCTGTATGTCTTCTTTGGAGAAGTATCTTTTTAGGTCTTCTGCCCATTTTTTGATTGGGTTGTTTTTGTTGTTGTTGTTGAGTTGTATGAGCTATTTGTGTATTTTGGAAATTAAGCCCTTGTTGGTCGCATCATTTGCAAATACTTTCTCCCAGTCTACAGGTTGTCTTTTTCATTTTGTTTATGATTTCCTTTGCTGTACAAAAGCTTGTAAGTTTGATTAGTTTCCATTTGTTTAGTTTTGCTTTTATTTCTATTGGCTTGGGAGACTGACCTAAGAAAATATTGGTACGATTTATGTTAGAGAATATTTTGCCTGTGTTCTCTTCTAGGAGTTTTATGGTGTCATGTCTTATGTTTAAGCCATTTTGAGTTTATTTTTGTGTATGGTGTGAGGGTATGTTCTAACTTCGTTGATTTACATGCAGCTGTCCAACTTTCCCAACACTACTTGCTGAAGAGACTGTTTTTTCTTTTTCCCTTTTTTCCATTGTATATTCTTGCCTACCTCTGGATCTATTTATATTGTCTGATTTTTTTCCCTTCCACTCTCTCTTGATATCCTGGGAATTTTGGTTGAATGTCAGACACTGTGTATAAAATATTGCAGAAGCTCTAAATGAGCCTTTAGCTTATGGCAGGCAGGTAGAATTAGGATAGATCATTTTAATCCAATCACAGAATGGATTGGCTATCAGTGTATAAGATTTGGTTTACTTTTTTTTTTAAATAACTTTAAAAATTATTTATTTATTTATTTATTTTTGGCTGTGTTGGGTCTTTGTTGCCGCGAGCAGGGGCTACTCTTCATTGCGTTGGCTTCTCTTGTTGCGGAGCACGGGCTCTAGGCACACGAGCTTCAGTAGTTGTGTCATGCGGGCTCGGTAGCTGTGGCTTATGAGGTCTAGAGCACAGGCTCAGTAGTTGTGGCACACAGGCTTAGCTGCTCTGCGGCATGTGGGATCTTCCCAGACCAGGGATCGAACACGTGTCCCCTGCATTTGCAGGTGGATTCTTAACCACTGGGCCACCAGGGAAGCCCTGGTTTACTTTTAGTTTACTTTTATTTCTAGGGCGCAGGCCTTTAGGAGTTCCATTTGAAAGCGTGAGGTGCTTACCAGAGTCTCTCTCTCTCTCTCTCTCTTTTTTTTTTGGCCACGCAGCTTGCGGGATCTTAGTTCCCCAATCAGGGATTGAACCTGCGCCCCCTGCAGTGGAAGCGTGGAGTTCTAACTACTGGACCACCAGGGAAGTCCCAGGAGTCTTTCTTGTCAGAACTTCAAAACCGATTTTTATCTCCCATCCTTCTGAGGCCACAAAACTTCTGTTGGCTGCCACTTTCTGCTTTGTTTCTCTCAGCCTGCACTGTTTGTGAACTGGTGAATGCCTTGAGATAATAAACACGTCATTTTTCTGTACCAATGAGAGAATCTTAGTCTCTCAAGCCATAGCTGTCTTAAAAGCTTGGAACTCTAATTTTTGCCTCCTCAGCCCCTCCTCAGACTGCTGACATCCTTGCTCAGATTCTGTGTCACTTAAAAGCGTTTCTTTGTTGCTTAGTCTCTTTGGCTGTACCATCCAAGAACCCACATATGCTTTGAGGGGAAAACAGCATAGAATGTCAGACTCACCTTAATTACTTTTGCATATATCTCTAATCTCAGATCCTCAAACTGTGACTGTCTTGGTAACTCTCCAGTCCCCAAACAGATTTGTTTTAGTTCAGCCTTTTTAGCTATTTTCAATGAGAGGTTTTTTTTTTCCCTGCAACAAATTAATCTGGCATTATCTGCCTTTTTTTTTGTTACTGTAAAGATTGCTTCAGTGAACATCCTTACACATAAACATTTGTCTATATATCTCCTATTTTCTTAGGGTAGACTTGCCATAATGAAAATTTCTGAGTCAAAGTGTACACATTTTTAAGGCTTTTGATATATATTGTCAAGTTACTTTCCAAAAAGATTGTATCTATTTACATTGCCACTGTCTGTGTGTGAAGGTGCCTAACCCAAACTGTTAATTATTACTCTCTTATATAATATGCCAAGCTTCATAATAAGCAAGGATAGCTTCAAATGCCTGGAACCAATTTATTCTTACCCTTAAAATCAGAGTCGATAATCCAACATTTGTTGAAGATGGGAGCAGATGTAGTTATTGAAAACATATAATGAGATAGGCATGTTATATATGTTACAAGAAAATATTTTGTTTTGTAGAGGCAGTAGATTAGATTGCTGCCCCAATTCTTGACCTATCGCTACCTGTCTTCTTTGTTATGTGCCTTTTCACCTCAAAGCAGTGTGGTGTACATTTCTATCCCTTGATTCTAAGTTCAGCAATGTGACTTTCTTCAGCCAAAAGAATTGTTAGCAGACACGGTACAAGCAGAGGTGTGAAAAAGCACTTATATACAGTTGGGCCTGTGCTCTTGCTGTTTTGCCACATTCTTGAGAAGGTACATGCCTGCCTAAGTCCGTTGGATCCAGGAGGAGGGTGAGACATATGTAAGAGAACTGCCCCAGCTAAGCTGCCGCAGTCAACTCACAGACGCATAAGCAAACCGACGGAGATCAAGCAGGGCAGTCCCCTGCCTGACATGCACACATGGGAGTTGTAATAAAAAATGACTGTTACTGTAAGCCTCTGAATTTTGGGGTGGCTTGTGGTGCAGCAATAGCCAACTGATAAGAAGGTAGCATT